CGCCCCGCAAGCAGCTGGCCACCAAGGCTGCCCGCAAGAGCGCGCCGGCCACGGGCGGCGTCAAGAAGCCGCACCGCTACCGGCCCGGCACGGTGGCGCTGCGCGAGATCCGGCGCTACCAGAAGTCCACGGAGCTGCTGATCCGCAAGCTGCCCTTCCAGCGCCTGGTGCGCGAGATCGCGCAGGACTTCAAGACGGACCTGCGCTTCCAGAGCTCGGCCGTCATGGCGCTGCAGGAGGCCAGCGAGGCTTACCTGGTGGGGCTCTTCGAGGACACCAACCTGTGCGCCATCCACGCCAAGCGCGTCACCATCATGCCCAAGGACATCCAGCTGGCCCGCCGCATCCGCGGAGAGCGCGCCTGAAGAGTCTCCTGCCGCAGCCCTTTCCGCCCAGGCACGGAGGCAAACCCACACGGACCCAAAGGCTCTTTTAAGAGCCACCACATGCACAATTAGAAGAGCTGTGCACTGTCGTGCAAAAGAATGCTTTTGGGTGGGGGAGGATTGTGGAGGTAAATCTCAGAGCATTGTGTTGTCATTTTGCTGCTCATTCTATACAGACGGCTGTTACCTAGGGGTAAAGAGCGTTTTAAAAGCCAGTACATGTACATTGAATTGAGCTGTAGAGCTCCTCAGACACACGGTTATAAAATTTCTCCAACCTCCCTTTGTTTTCCTTATTTCTGTGCTGACCTTTAACTGGGGCTTTATGAACAGTACTGGAGTAGGGAGGTAACAGATCATAGGGAAAAACCGTTAGATTATTATACACTAGTGGCAAAACATTTTAGATCTCTTGAAATTGCCTGACAACAGAGCTGCCAAGTGTAAGGGCAATACGAACGAATACAGACGATGGTGTCTGCGGTTGTCCCAGGATCCTGATATAAAACTTACCGAGGTTCACTGCAATTCGTACCCAGGACATATTTACAGAAAGTTTTACCAACTCTGATAATGCAGGTTACATTACTGGAACACAACTGCTTGCAATGACCCACTGTAAACTTTAAACATCCCCCAGGCCTCAAGAAGCGGCATTTAAAGCAGTGCCACAGCTCTTTTAATTGTGCATGTGGTGGCTCTTAAAAGAGCCTTTGGGTCCGTGTGGGTTTGCCTCCGTGCCTGGCCGGAAAGGGCTGCGGCAGGAGACTCTTCAGGCGCGCTCGCCGCGGATGCGGCGGGCCAGCTGGATGTCCTTGGGCATGATGGTGACGCGCTTGGCGTGGATGGCGCACAGGTTGGTGTCCTCGAAGAGCCCCACCAGGTAAGCCTCGCTGGCCTCCTGCAGCGCCATGACGGCCGAGCTCTGGAAGCGCAGGTCCGTCTTGAAGTCCTGCGCGATCTCGCGCACCAGGCGCTGGAAGGGCAGCTTGCGGATCAGCAGCTCCGTGGACTTCTGGTAGCGCCGGATCTCGCGCAGCGCCACCGTGCCGGGCCGGTAGCGGTGCGGCTTCTTGACGCCGCCCGTGGCCGGCGCGCTCTTGCGGGCAGCCTTGGTGGCCAGCTGCTTGCGGGGCGCCTTCCCGCCCGTCGACTTACGCGCTGTCTGCTTCGTGCGCGCCATGGCCCAGCCCCAGCAAAAAGCCGATCGCGA